CTTCCTACGGGTAATGTATGCCCAAGGGGCAACTTGCTTAAATCCCCCTTTTCCCAGAAACACACAACAAAGTTACCAAACAGAGTAACCAGCAAATGAGTGAGTACACAAAACACAGGACACCACAGTATCCATACTCACATACGGAAATAGTCTCTCCCAACAAACACAACTGACTGGCTTTTAAAACAATGGGAGGTGTAAGTGAAAAACCAGAAACAGGTGGTGCAATACAGAGGAATGTCCACTGATTGGTCCACCTGGGCAATCAGCAGCCAAACGGATGTCGGACAGGTGGGACACCCCAACGACCACCAATCAGGAACATAAAGGACACCTGTGATTAGGGCAGAAGGAGAGGAAAAACACAAAAACACACACAGGATACCTGTATCCGTAACACAAGGCAAAGATGGTGTTCAGTTCTCTCATGTCAGAGCAAAGCTGGCTCTAGACCCGGAATCATCAACTAGATTAAGCCTCGGGACGATTTCTTTTTGAGCGGATGATCAGTGGGCTGGAACATAATTACAAATAATTGGTAGACTACAAATTGACTGCAAGAAGCCCAAAACATAATAATTTCAAACCTTGCTTACATTTGTGTACGATCATATATATCTCTGTGTGGGAATACTTTGGAACAGATTTCCAAAATTAAAATCACTTGGAGCTGATTTGCTGGTGTTTTTACAGTCTTTTATGTCCAACAATAAATAAAGAAAATAACTTGTTGTTGTTGTTTTTGCTTAGAAAACTTAATAAAACCACCTGCTGGCCAAATTAGGCACACGGGCCGCCAGTTGGGGAACCCTGCTCTAGACAGTAAGAAATGTGTGTCTAAACCTAAAATGCTTGAGCAGAATTAGTAGGACCGCTAAACTGTCCATTCCTAGGGGTGTGAGGTGTTGGGGGGGGGGGCTGACCCATGTACTGTAAATCTGACCCTCTTGCACCTGTTTGAAGTGCCCATCGCATACAATATCAGGTCTCGTGACGGCTTTAATACACTCTGTCATAGAGAAGAGCATGCCCTTTCTCTAGCAAATGTGATTATCTATAGGCATATACAGTACAGTGAGGGAAAAAAGTATTTGATCCCCTGCTGATGTTGTACGTTTGCCCACTGACAAAGAAATGATCAGTCTATAATTTGAATGGTAGGTTTATTTGAACAGTGAGAGACAGAATAACAACAAGAAAATCCAGAAAAACGCATGTCAAAAATGTTATAAATTGATTTGCATTTTAATGAGGGAAATAAGTATTTGACCCCCTCTCAATCAGAAACATTTCTGGCTCCCAGGTGTCTTTTATACAGGTAACGAGCTGAGATTAGGAGCACACTCTTAAAGGGAGTGCTCCTAATCTCAGCTTGTTTCCTTTATAAAAGACACCTGTCCACAGAAGCAATCAATCAATCAGATTCCAAACTCTCCACCATGGCTAAGACCAAAGAGCTCTCCAAGGATGTCAGGGACAAGATTGTAGACCTACACAAGGCTGGAATGGGCTACAAGACCGTCGGCAAGCAGCTTGGTGAGAAGGTGACAACAGTTGGTGCGATTATTCGCAAATGGAAGAAACACAAAATAACTGTCTATCTCCCTCGGCCTGGGGCTCCATGCAAGATCTCACCTCGTGGAGTTGCAATGATCATGAGAACGGTGAGGAATCAGCCCAGAACTACACGGGAGGATCTTGTCAATGATCTCAAGGCAGCTGGGACCATAGTCACCAAGAAAACAATTGGTAACACACTACGCCGTCAAGGTCCCCCTGCTCAAGAAAGCACATATACAGGCCCGTCTGAAGTTTGCCAATTAACATCTGAATGATTCAGAGGAGAACTGGGTGAAAGTGTTGTGGTCAGATGAGACCAAAATCGAGCTCTTTGGCATCAACTCAACTCGCCGTGTTTGGAGGAGGAGGAATGCTGCCTATGACCCCAAGAACACCATCCCCACCGTCAAACATGGAGGTGGAAACATTATGCTTTGGGGGTGTTTTTCTGCTAAGGGGACAGGACAACTTCACCGCATCAAAGGGACAATGGACGACGCCATGTACCGTCAAATCTTGGGTGAGATTGGACCTCCTTCCCTCAGCCAGGGCATTAAAAATGGGTTGTGGATGGGTATTCCAGCATGACAATGACCCAAAACACACAGCCAAGGCAACAAAGGAGTGGCTCAAGAAGAAGGTACATTAAGGTCCTGGAGTGGCCTAGCCAGTCTCCAGACCTTAATCCCATAGAAAATCTGTGGAGGAAGCTGAAGGTTCGAGTTGCCAAACATCAGCCTCGAAACCTTAATGACTTGGAGAAGATCTGCAAAGAGGAGTGGGACAAAATCCCTCCTGAGATGTGTGCAAACCTGGTGGCCAACTACAAGAAACGTCTGATCTCTGTGATTGCCAACAAGGGCTTTGCCACCAAGTACTAAGTCATGTTTTGCAGAGGGGTCAAATACTTATTTCCCTCATTAAAATGCAAATCAATTTATAAAATTTTTGACATGCGTTTTTCTGGATTTTGTTGTTGTTATTCTGTCTCTCACTGTTCAAATAAACCTACCATTAAAATTATAGACTGATCATGTCTTTGTCAGTGGGTAAACGTACAAAATCAGCAGGGGATCAAATACTTTTTTCCCTCACTGTAGCCTACAATACTCGTAGCTCAAATCTACCTTTATTCTCAGTGCTCAAATGTTTAAGTGTAGGATCTTTTATGTTATCAATATCATGATGTCATGTTTTTTATAGGGAACGGGGGCAACCCTTTCTGCTCTATGTAGCTCTGACATATATGCATGTCTCCCTGTCACCCCCTTCCCATGCCCCCCTACCCCCTGCCCCTTAGAGGGCGATGTGTGCGCTAACAGTCTGCGGAAGATTGACGGCCTGCTGGGGGCAATAAAAAACACCTCTGATGCCTCAGACAAGGACAACACTCTCATCTGGTTCACTGGTGAGATCACTGACTACCAGTGATCTTGTTTCCGTTTGGATCATAGAACGTGGTGTTTCCGTTTGGATCGTTGAACATTGTGTTTATGTTTGGATCATAGAACATTGTGTTTCCATTTGGATCATAGAATATCGTGTTTCCATTTGGATCATAGAACATCATGTTTCCGTTGGATCATAGGTTATAATTGCCCCTGGGAGCAGAAGTGCCAGTATGCAGGAAGTGGCAGACCAGCAGACGTAAGTACTTCCTGGGTCAGCACTTGCATTCTAGTGCATTAGTTCACTAAACTAAATTATGAATCTTATTGATACTGACATCAGTGGTCCACGTATCTGTCTGTTACCTATCTGTCAGGTGGGGACCAACTGGTTTGGGGGGCACAGGGTGCCCACAGTGTCCTACTGGCCTGGTAGGGCACAAGCCACCAGCTCTGACCTGCTCAGCGTGGTCATTACAGTACAGATGTATCTGAAGCTACACCCAGCTCAGATCCAAAACACAGGTCTATATTAAAAAGAACTGCTAAAGTAAATTTACAGTCCCCAAATCCAGAACAAATTCAGGAAAGCGTAGTATTATATAGAGCCATTATTGCATGGAACTCCGTTCCATCTGATATTGCTCAAATGAACAGAAAACCTGGTTTCAAAAAATAGATAAAGCAACACCTCACGGCACAACGCCTCTCCCCTATTTGACCTAGATAGTTTGTGTGTATGTATTGGTATTGATATATGTAGGCTACGTGTGCCTTTTTTAAAATTTATTTTTAAATTGGTGTAGTTCTGTCCTTGAGCTGTTCTTGTCTATTAATGTTCTGTATTATGTCATGTTTCATGTTTTGTGTGGACCCCAGGAAGAGTAGCTGCTGCTTTTGCAACAGCTAATGGGGATCCTAATAAAATACCAAATAAGTAGGATGAAGTGGCCAATACACACTGATCTAAGACCAGTTTAGTTTGTACCACTAATAGTTAACCTTTCTTCCAAGGTTAACTTCACTTTAACCTGAGACATTTCAATGAAATGAAACACAGGAGACTTGTTTGATTCACATTCCCTTTAATTTGTGGTTTAAAATCTTCAAAATCAAAACTTCCAAAGAACATTAGTGTTCTCAAAGCTCCACCCTTTGACAAATCAGTCACAAGGTAATAACAATGGGCATACTGTTTACAAACGATATATACATGTATATATATACACACATTATACACAAACAATAAAAATCAAATTTCCGCCAAAACCTTCACTTAATTTAAGTACTTTAGGTCTAATGCATTGATGAATAATTCTAATTTCATATTCCAAAATAATATTTAATACAAGTCAACATAATTTTTTACAAAGTAGTAACATCTACGTAATGTCTGAAATTTTACAATATTCAACATTATTTAGTCAATGGTGTTAATAACATAATCACTGAAATAAAAGGACCTGTAAGAATCTATAATACAGTTCTCTCTATCAAGTTTTTCACATTTCAGTATTTTATTATTCTTCCCACATTTTTCTAGAGATAAAAAACCACCTCAAGACATATGATAGAAGGCCCTCTCTCTCTCCTTCTCTGTTCCACCATCCCCCCCCCACTTTCAGCACTTCTCAATAGCTCTATATGAATGCAATTCAATATTAAAGTCCATTTTTAACCAGTTTAAATATTGGTTAATATTAGACTAGAGGTAGGCTACAACTTCATAGTCCAGACCTGCTTCCCTTCTGATAGTTAGGGAATGGATTTTAATTGTATTCATATTGACCTTTAGGGCCAGGTATAAGACAATGTACAGAGACAGGCCTACTGTCTAGCCATACTCTACTTCTGAATGGCACATGAGAGTAACCAATCACCACTGTGGCATCTACATTTCTCCCATCTGATTGGCTCGTTGGGGACATGGGGGGGGGGGTTCTCATCACTGATATCCTTCCTTCTAGCGTGAATGGCTCTAGTTGATTGGTTCCTAGGAAGTGGTGGGTCAGAATGGCTCCAGTTGATTGGTTCCTGGGAAGTGGTGGATCAGTTGGTCTGGTTGCTGACAGGAGGAAACTCGTTCTCGTCATCCAGACAGACGGGTCCCTCTGCAAACTCATGTTCAGGGATCACATCTCCTTTCTCAGCCCCTCCATCCTCTGAGTAGCCTGGGAAGAGGATAGAATGAGAGGAGAAGAGAGATTACAGAAGGGCACGTAATCAGACTAAGCTGAAGAGTTACAAATTCCACGATAGACATTTAAAGGTCATTTCCCATTGAGCCGACATATGCAGCGTCTCCGCTAAAGTGGGAACATTGCCTTTAAATTTCAATCACGCTGTAAAGCTGAAATTCCGTGATGCGAATTGAATAGAGCCCTTAATCACACAAGGTAAGACACACTACATTCATAAAGCAAACCACACACAATACCTGTGAGAGTGGTAGAAGAGGGTGGGTTCGAGGGGAGGGCCACAGTGGCAGCGTATGATGGGCTGGTTGACGGTGGGAGGGACCTTCCATCCTCTGGCTCCTCCTCTTCCGGTTGTGCTTCCTGTGGCACCTCATCTCCTTCAAATAGCCTGGAGAAAACACAAAGAGAGCCTGATTACACACACACACACACACACACACACACACACACACACACACACAAACATGCTTAAGCACACACATATGCTCACCGGGGTTGGGGTCAATTTAATTTAAATTCCAGTCAATTCATTTTCCTTATTGAAAAGCATTGAAAATAATTGGAATTGGAATGTCATTGTACTTCCTGAATTTACTGGAATTGAAATGGAATTGACCCCAACTCTGAGGCTCACACAAACAGAACACAGTCCCTCACCTGTGATTCCTGACCAGAACACAGTCCCTCACCTGTGTTTCCTGACCAGAACATAGTCCCTCACCTGTGTTTCCTGAACAGATCCCAGTCCCTCACCTGTGTTTCCTGAACAGATCCCAGTCCCTCACCTGTGTTTCCTGACCAGAACACACTCTCCTCCATCCTGTGGGTCGATGTTATAGATGTAGAGATGTCCATCTGATGAGGCCACCAGCAGACGAGGCAGCTTCTGAACCCTGAAAATATACCAAGTAATAGGACTGTAAAATAAAGAGACCCAACATTGAATCACACACAGACACACACCACCCCGCCCTGCATCCACCCGCAAACACACAAACGTACATGGACAAGGCGCAGACGTTCTTGAGTCCGAACATGTTGAGTCGTACGGTGGCGAAGGCCCGGTCTTGGTGCATCATGTCAGAGACCTGGGAGGGAAGGTAGGTGCTGGCTGCTGTGAACATCTTTCCCACGTACGCACCCCACGTAGGAGACTCACCCTCTCGACTACAGACAGGCAGAGGAGACAGGCAGGAGTCAATCGCACTGCTCTTCCTGACTGACTGACTTCAGAGACAAAACTGTAACACAAAGCATTTTACACTCCTGACAACTAGCCACTGAGGACCAGAAAGGGACAAGACGTAAGACGATCAACACAACAAAATCAGGACAGTAAACAGTGTGTACCTGGGGCTGTGTTGTAAACAGTGAGTACCTGGGGCTGTGTTGTAAACAGTGAGTACCTGGGGCTGTGCTGTACATAGTGAGTACCTGGGGCTGTGCTGTAAACAGTGAGTACCTGGGGCTGTGCTGTAAACAGTGAGTACCTGGGGCTGTGCTGTAAACAGTGAGTACCTGGGGGCTGTGCTGTAAACAGTGTGTACCTGGGGGCTGTGCTGTAAACAGTGAGTACCTGGGGCTGTGCTGTAAACAGTGTGTACCTGGGGCTGTGTTGTAAACAGTGAGTACCTGGGGCTGTGTTGTAAACAGTGAGTACCTGGGGCTGTGCTGTAAACAGTGTGTACCTGGGGCTGTGTTGTAAACAGTGAGTACCTGGGGCTGTGCTGTTCCAGTTTGAAGATATGGACCGTCTCTGTGTTGCTGGAGGCACAGAGGAACTGGGCGTCTGAACTAAAGGACAACGAGCTGATACTCACATACCTGAAACACAGACACACATGGTAAGAGTCATCATCCCCAAGATACCAAACCTACCCCTACAAAACCTTGGAATAGTTCTGTAGTCTGTCTACATATGTAGTGTCTGTAGTATATGTAGTGTCTGGTAGTGTCTGGTAGTGTCTCTAGTGTCTGGTAGTGTCTGGTAGTGTCTGGTAGTGTCTGGTAGTGTCTGGTAGTGTCTGGTAGTGTCTGGTAGTGTCTGTAGTGTCTGTAGTGTCTGGTAGTGTCTGGTAGTGTCTGGTAGTGTCTAGTGTCTCTAGTGTCCGTGGTGTCCGTAGTGTCTGTAGTGTCTGTAGTGTCTGTAGTCTGGTATAAACTGACCTCTTCATCCCTCTGCGGAACTCAAACAGCCTCTGTCCCTCTGGGATGGTGAACACTCTGATCACTGTACCCTGGAGTGGAGGAGGAGATGGTCAGACAGAACCGTTGTAGACAGAGATGTACACTGAGTGTACAAAACATTAGGAACACCTGCTCTTTCCATGACATATTGATGTCACCTGTTAAATCCACTTCAATCAGTATAGATAAAGGGGAGGAGACAGGTTAAAGAAGGATTGTTAAGCCTTGCTTGAGACAATTGAGAAATGGATTGTGTATGTGTGCCATTCAGAGGGTGAATGGGCAAAACAACAGATGTAAGTGTTCTTAATGTTTTCTACACTCAGTGTATATATAGTGAAGACAGTTGAAAGGCAGGAAGAGAGAGGGAGGAACAGTCAGACTCACCCTCTCAGAGGCGCTGGCCAGTTTGGTTCCTGAAGCGTTGAATGTGAGGGCTGCCAAGGGACTGTCATGGGCTGGGATCCTCGTCACCGTGCTCTAAGGAAAACACGGGTCACACATTTGTGACATCATCAACCTGCGACCACTTCAACAGCCGTGACATGCAATGACTGTACTTCATGTCCTCAAAGGTATTAAGGCAGTTCAACTACCACTCCAACCACTCTACTAGCTAACCCACAACCTGCCATTAGGATCAACATGAATACCCCTGCGTTGTGCTCTGTAGACAGTGGTTGAATAGCAGCGGTGGTAGAAGTCATTTCAATATCATGTCTTACCAGGTTGTTGGCGTCGTAGACAATGATCTCTCCGATGGTCTGACTGCCAGGGTACGCCAGGTAGGAGTTACCATGGTTCACAGAGAGGGCACAGAGACCTGACGGGTTGGAGGGTGTGTCTGTGTTTAAAAACTGAGCATAGTTGAGGGTATGATGAATTGTGTGTGTGTGTGTGTGTTATTGTGTGTGCGTATTCAGTACCTGAGGGGTTGTGGGGTGTGTTGAGCAGTGTCTTCAGCAGCTTCATGTCTTTGATGTTGTGGATGTAAACAGACTCCTCCAGACACACCACCAGCCTCTACAGAGGACAGAGAGGGAAACGTTGCAGCAGAGCTGAAAGGGGGGATAGGTATGGAATGGGAACTGACCTCAGGATAGGTGAGAGAGATTGGATTGGAATGGGGCCTCAATCTGACCTAAGGATACACTCTTAGAAAAAAGGGTTCCAAAAGGGCCCTTTGGCTGTCCTATAAGAACCCTTTAGATTCTAGATAGCAGTGAGGAATGGGTTTGGAATAGGGCCATTACCTGTCTGTTGAGACGGACTGAGAGGATGTTGTTGGAGTAGCTATAGTTGCAGATCTCTGTTCCCCTCTTGAAGTGGTAGACGTTCATACGTTGGGGCATGGAGAGACTGACCACCACCACCAGACTGCTGGAGAACAACCGCTCCACGACGTACACGTCTGGACACTCCGCTGGGAGAGAGAGAGGGAGGGAAGGAAGGGGGAGGGGGAGGGGAGGGGAGGGGAGAGGGAGGGAAAGAAGGGGAAGGGGAGGGGAGAGGGAGGGAAGGAAGGGGAGGGAAGGGAAGGAAGGGGGTGGTAGATTTGAGAAGGTGTTACGGGTGGTGCAGGGGGTGAGGGATGTGGGTTTGGGTGTTTGGGGAAGTGGGGGGAGGGTGGAACGTGGGGGAGGGGAGGATAGGGTTGAGGGAGGGAGGGGTTAAATCACATACAAGTGCTAATATAAAACACACTGCATAGAATACACACACACACACACACACACACACATACACACACAAACACACACACACACATACACACACCAATACACACACACAAATACACACACACAAATATACACACACACCCACACAAATACACACACACACACACAGGTAAACATGTATATAGAGCACACATGCACAGACACCCAAACACACACACTCACGCAGGCACACATTCCATCATTCATTCATTCTATCATTCATTCCATCATTCATTCATTCTATCATTCATTCCATCATTCATTCATTCTATCATTCATTCCATCATTCATTCATTCTATCATTTATTCCATCATTCATTCATTCTATCATTTATTCCATCATTCATTCCATTAATTCCATTAATTCCATCATTCATTCATTCTATCATTCATTCCATCATTCATTCATTCTATCATTTATTCCATCATTCATTCATTGTATCATTTATTCCATCATTCATTCCTTCATTCATTCCATCATTCATTCCATCATTCATTCCTTCATTCATTCATTCCTTCATTCATTCCTTCATTCATTCATTCCTTCATTCATTCCTTCTATCATTTATTCCATCATTCATTCCATCATTCATTCCTTCATTCATTCATTCATTCATTCATTCATTCTATCATTTATTCCATCATTCATTCATTCTATCATTAATTCCTTCATTCATTCCATCATTCATTCCATCATCATTCATTCCATCATTTATTCCATCATTTATTCCTTCATTCATTCCATCATTCATTCCTTCATTCATTCCATCATTCATTCCATCATTCATTCCATCATTTATTCCATCATTCATTCCATCATTCATTCCATCATTCATGCCATAATTCATTCCATACTCAAACTAAAACATTCATAGGCTCACACACTTTCTTCTCACTGTGATGTGAAACACTGATAATATACTTGCAGAATGCATCACTGGGAACAGGCTTGTGGTGTAACATACTACTCTCTACCATTGTTTACATATGTGGGAGAGGGAGGGCTATATCAGCTTAGAACAACTTGTTGTCTGGTTACAGACTACTGTTTAACCACGCTGGTTGACCTGACCGCAGCTTACTGGGTGTTTGTTTTGTCCCGGTGCTAGGATACCAGCTTAGTGTTTAACAGTAGCTACCAGTACACACAGGCTTTAAGGACACTCACTCACCTCCTTCGTGGATGCAGTCCATCTTGTCCACCGAGGTGACAGAGAAGAGTCTGTAGCCTGACTTAGTGCCCACTGATAGAGACCTGAAACACACAGAGACCCAACTGTTGTTAAACATCCAAGATGGCATCCACTACGTGTGTAGTCTATAACCCACTATAGGGGTGTAGTGTTGTAAACCGCCATAATGGTTTCATCATAATCCCCTCTCAAGGTTTGCTTGAAGGTTACAGTTTGTTAATATGATATAACCAAAGAGGCTGGATGTTCACTTGTTGTGCCATAATCTAAGTAATCATCTACCTCTTAAACTAAATGCACATACAATGGAAAAACCATACAATAAAATAGAATGAGTTCAGTTCCAAACAATCCAGGCAGTTGTAAAAACCTCTCCAGCATTTATCTTTTTGTTATCTGTGCGTCCAATATCAAAACCACACAAGTAATTCATGGAAATAAAATGGATTTTTGATTGGAGAAAATAAACGGAACCTCAAGCCTCCCTCCCTATCCTTGTTCTCTAACCAGGACACCTCTATCCCCTACTACCTTTACCCAGTGCATTCTTAAAATTACACTACGTTTATGAGTGGAAAGGCTGATTGGACCAAGGCTGATTGGACCACTAAAGGCAGAGGATGTTGTTTTCTAAGGAAAGCCTTAGTACACACTCCGCTTACCAGGAACTGTAGGGGATACATGCAATGCCTCACTACCCAGTGAGCTATATATAGCAGTCAGGGGAAATGAAGGATACAGTGTGCTGTATGGTCAACACAGCAAGAGTTGACTAAGGTCATGTGATCACCCTAAGAACTTCAAACAACACTGATAATCAAGCACACTATCTATGGACATATACATATATACTGTGTAGAGAAAAGGAGGGGCAGGTGTCTGTCAACAGGTGGAATAGGATAGACTAGGAAGATATAGGATCATATTCATTCTAGAGTAGACACTGATCTAAGATCAGTTTAACATTCCCCCCCCCCCCTTATGGTTTAGGTTATGCTATGTGGAGGGTGAGCTGATCCTAGATATGTGCCTGAGGGCAACCACTACCCAGTGTTGAACAGGTGTGTGGTTCAGTGGGATATAGGCCTAGCCCAGGTAACAAATAGCCTAACTGCTGCTTGTCTTATCATGTCTGAGGATGATTGAAAATGGGAGAGAGCTAACGTTAACATGTGTGTTTGACCATCTGGCTGTCACTACACCTTTAACCGACCTGTAGATCAACAGTGTCTGGCTGCTCCTCTATCACTCACACTCAAATGTTGCCTAGCATGGGATTCCATTCCCAAAGACCCTTTGTCATAATGCAATACATCCAACCGCCCCATGCATGCAGTGGTAATAGCCTAAGTGCTTCAAGAAATCATGACAGTTCGACAACTCATTCCATGTGTCATCATCTGAGACAAAAATCAGACTTGCACAATAGTCTGCTGTGCTGACCAGTATCTCTACTGTAGGTCAAATCTTGCCTGGATACTTTTCTCTGGCCATCTATCTATAAGCCTTCGTAGTGTGGTGGCTTACTTCACAAGGTACTAACCTATATTTTAGGAACTGTCTTGATGAGACACCATTTGACAATTGGATTAACATTGATAAACCACATGCACAAGTGGGTTAGGTAGGAAGATACAATTCATACATTAACATATATCTGTTACAGAACAGCAGACAGACCATATTACAGCTAGAAGCACGCATACAGATTTACTACCTAGATTATACAAGAAGAATCTATATAACAGTGCGACAAGTTGAATTCGCTAGAACTGCCCGAGTTGGCAGACAGGGCGCTTGCTTACGTGGTGTCCTGGTTGAACGAGGCGCTGATCAAGCCTTGAGGCCCTCCCGGACCGTCGGATGTCTCCCGGTCCTCCATCCCGTCCACTGTGATTCTCCTGCTCCACTGCCCTAGTTCGGGGGCCTGTGTTCGGATCGATCACTCCGAAACCCAGCTTCTCAACACACGTATGCGCTCGAGATTAGTTATTACAATGTTATAAATACTATACAAATTAGAAACAGCTGGCTTGAATCCTGAAACTAAAATGATTAGTTGTTTCTTCTACTTTAGAACACGGCGCGTGTATTGTTCTGTTCTGTTAACCCGTAACTTCTAGAGTTAACAGGAGACAGACAAAAACAAAAACAGCTGAGGGCTGGATGCGTCACTTTTGTGCCATTTTCTATTGGCTGATTGGATCATTGGGAGACTACCCCTGCACCACTCAGATTGGCCAACCTTTTCAAAACCTGTATCTGATTGGGCGGATTCGATTATGCTGAGCCGCGCGGCACTGGGTAAAGGCCCTTACGTCATCGGGCGAAAGCGGGGAGGGAGGAGTAGGAGTGCACTTCTCAAATGGAACAGTAATCTGTGCTGCTCGGTCATTTTGTCAACAAGGCAGCATGGTTCATCGTCCAGAAACATACAACGTCTATTTAACATCAAATAAATGTTTTAATGTTCTAACTTGTTTTCATTGATATGGCAGATAAAGCTAAAAAGCGATCACTTTTGCATGTGAAAACACAGAATCTTACTCATTACGCCTCGTGCACACCTGTTGTGTATACTGTCAGTGTTCAGGCAGAAATCCATTAATTTCATTGGGAGGCAATCAGCACCACTGCAACTCATCTGCAGGACTAGGTTGCGGTGCGTGGCACTGTGTGCAGTGTATCGCATGGTTGGATTTTTTCAATGTGTGCTTTGCTTTGCCTCCACGTGCTAAACGTCACTTTGTTTTGAGCCGACTTCGCTGTGGGTTTTGAATGGGGCAGGCTCACACCCCGGAGACAGTCCGGTTCCAAAACGAATGCAATCAACGTTCACCCCGTGCAAAATTAAACGATTGCGATTAGTTAATTTTCCTTCATTCTGGGCACGAGGAATTGTTTTGATCGTTTTGATTGGTTGGAGTGTGCTGCACCAAATGGATGGACCCATTGAATGTTTTGCTGACCATCTTTGCCACATCTTTCTATGTGAAGCTTTGCAAAGTAAAACATTTAAATAAATAAAAACCTTTGCAGAGTTTGCACAAAAGCTATGCATACAACAATGTACTTTACAACTTCCTTGGCTGATCAATCATGAAACACAAATCTAATCCAATGGCACTGCCATCTGCCATCTATTGTTTATTATAAGGCTAAACTGCTGAGGCATAGTGCGCAGAAATTAATCTTCCTAAAACAACAATCTCCTCCCAAAAATATTCCTATATTGAGTATTATTTGAATAGAGGACGCTCCACTCACTGTTCATGGGAAATGTTGAATAGGAGACTATCGGGTCCTTCTATCTGCTATCACTTTAATCGATTTCCCATTGACGTCATGATTTCCATGCGTTCCCCTTTAATGTTGCCAAGGGTTACGGCTCACATGACAGAAGGAGGCGAATTGACGTCAATGACGGCTTGTGATTGGTCCTAAACCCGTATCCGGTGGGGCAGCCGTCCAAGGATTTGGAAAAATCGAAGCGAGAAATTTGGTAAGCTTGTGGAAATAACATCCAAAACCGAGTCAGTGTCGAAGGGCTCGGTAAGAATTGGCGGATTCTTGTAAGTATCTACATGCTTCATCGTTGAAAATTGATGCCCTTGCAATTGCGGGATATGTAGCCTCCGCCTCACATTTGTTTACGATAGAGCTCAAGATGGCGTCATTGGCAAGAGGGCTTTGCAGGCCAAATGCCAACTAGTTAGCTATATTTCATATCAATCAATACAGTTTTACCAAGCTAGCTTCGTCATGAGTATGTTTAAGTTAACTAACTAGCTAACGTACCAGTAATCTGCGATCAAACAGCGATGTGATGCGTACTACCTTTAGTACCTAGCTAACTACGTATTATAGGCCTAATTTAGCTAGCTAGCTAGCTAGGTCTTGAATGCTGTCAACTGTTATACTCCCAGTTGTTTTTGACGGCTATAGTTAATATAGCTAACTAGCATTGTAGCCAACCAGAGTTTGCCTTATAATTTACCCATCCAACTGGTAAACGTTACTGCTCCAATCAACGGTTTGAAAGCAAGGCCATTTTGAATGTTGTTTTTGTAATATGTAATCTCATATTATTCCAGGGGACAGTTCATAAGCAGTATTGAAAACGCCATAGTAATAAGTATCACAAGATAGCAGGAAATTCAGGAACTGTCTGAAATCCTAGTCAACATTATCTCGGCTAGATATTTAGTGTCTTGATGTAAATGGTTGTTTCTATCATTTATATCCCCATGATCTGTCTTTAGATTGATGCCACTGAGAACCATATGATCAGTACAATGTAACCCTTTGGTGGAGGACCTAACTTTACCAATGCACTAAATCCTGTCTTTAGTAGTAAAGCAGCATGGCATGCTTGCTATCTGGCTCCTTCTTTGATAAAGATTATTAAAATAATCTATTTTTGTTAGATTAGGAATGACATGGTCCTATATACTGCTTATGATATACAGTAATCCTGACCTCTGCATTATGAAACTGATAAGAAATGTCAGACGACATCAAACAAGGATACAGTTGGTTTACCACTTAGTAAGATGTAATCACATATGACCAAGTTTCCATGAAGCATCCCTGCAACACCTCTATTCTCTTTATTTCTGTCATACTCCCTTCCTCCCTCCTTTGTTCATTTTAGTCAGTCATCAGATGTTAGAAGACAATAACAACCACATTAGAAGAGCATTGTAACCCTTGAATTTTTTTTTTTGAAGTAACCATCCAAGTTGTCTCTCTCCATCTCTAGTTCAGAGGTCAGAGTTTGCGAGTTTACCAGGTGGTAGCGGAGCAGGAGCGCGTCGTGAATCGTGATGGCGTCGAGCAGTACGAGCAGTGAGGAGGAGAGGAGTCTGAGGGAGTGTGAGCTCTACGTGCAGAAACACAACATCCAGCAGCTGCTGAAGGACTGCATCGTCCAGCTGTGTACCTCCAGGCCAGACAGACCCATGGCATTCCTCAGAGAGTATTTTGAGAGGCTGGAGAAGGTGAGTCTGGGCGGGTAGGGTGGTGTGTGTGTGTGCGTGCGTGTGTGTATGCGTACCGTCTAGCTGTGTACCTCCATTCTTGACTGACCCATGACCTTCCATGAAACTAGTTTTATCATTGTAGTGCCTTTTATATTGTAAAGTGTTCCCCTGGCAGCTAATTGGATGTTTGTGACCTGTGACCCGTGCAGGAGGAGGCCAAGCAGATCCTGAACCAGCAGAAGGCCAGCAGCCGTTCTGACTCCCGGGATGAGGAGGTGTCTCCTCCTATGAACCCTGTTGTCAAGGGTCGCCGGCGGAGAGGAGCCATCAGCGCTGAGGTCTACACAGAGGAGGACGCTGCTTCCTATGTCAGAAAGGTGAGGACACACACATAAAAAAAAAAAAAAAAAAAGTAAATCACCTTGAAACACATGGCTCTACTAAAACAACAAAGCATCAGACAAAACAGTCAGTTAGACAATCCCACAAAACAATGTCCTCTACTTACAGTCATATCTATGGGCTGGCTGGAGATATTGTGAATACCTAGGGTGAAGTGCCTAATCTTGGATGCGTTTTGTTTTCAAGGTCATTCCTAAAGACTACAAAACAATGGCTGCCCTGGCTAAAGCTATCGAAAAGAATGTGCTTTTCTCTCACTTGGATGACAATGAGAGGAGGTATGTTGTTAACAGGCTATGATTTGTCTGTAAAGTTTGGTTGTCAATGTGAGTTTATCAATCCCACTGATCAAGCCACAAACTTGAAACTTTTTCAAAAACGTAACAAACACAATCTTTATTCACAGTGACATCTTTGACGCCATGTTTTCAGTTACCTACATCGCTGGAGAGACTATCATTATACAAGGTACTGTAGGCTGGGATTTTCCTTTAGATTCAGTAGAAATTCAATTAGACCTGAATGCCTTTTTATTCCAGAGAAAATATGAACAATATCCTCTCTTCCCCGTCAGGTGATGAGGGGGATAATTTCTACGTCATCGACCAAGGAGAGACGGATGTACGTCTCTTTGATGTATTTTAGGAACCAACAACAACTATTTTTGACTCTTGTGTTACACACACACACACACACAAGCTTGTCTTGATTTTTTCCTCCTGAATATGACAGGCTTATTTTTGCAACTCTCTTTTTAGACCGTTTATATCTTATTTTTTGTCATCTGTTACTTCCCTATTCAGATTCCTATTATCTGATACCTTAGCAATGCCTACTCTCATAGAAATAGGATTCTAATTAGATGGCTAAACCTTCATTATTTCTACACAATATAAGAAACAACATGCACGTAGACAGAAACAACAACATCTAATAGAGACAGTAACACACTGACCTTACCTGGTCTTAATGTCTAAACACCCCCTCCCTTCCTGCCAGGTGTATGTCAACAATGAGTGGGTGACCAATATCGGGGAGGGGGGCAGCTTTGGAGAGTTGGCCCTGATCTACGGGACCCCGAGGGCTGCCACCGTCCGAGCCAAGAGCAACGTCAAACTGTGGGGCATCGACAGAGACAGCTACAGGAGGATACTCATGGTGAGCCCTGCTCTGCTCTGCCACTTCCATCTGACTGACATGATTTGTTGAGTTACCTTCAATAATTTTGGAGTGATTAACGATGAGTAGGGACAGGTGGAATTGCTATGATTTTTGTAACTGCTGGATTTTATGAATTGAATATACAGACAACCCAATGTTCCCTCTAAGCTGTGCGCGTTTGCAGTACCCCCAGGACGTGCCGCGCAGTACCCCCAGGACGTGCCGCGCAGTACCCCCAGGACGTGCCGCGCATCTCCCCCAGGACTGCCGTGCAGAAATATCAGCCCACAGAGAGAAGCACGAGATTGAACTTCACTCAACTTTTTAGAGCAGTGGTCACGTCGATCTCCAAGGCATTCCTAGTCGAACACCAAACATTTCTGTAAAAAACACAACAAGCCTTGTTCCTATATATTTTTTTATTAGTCTTGGGCTGTTGGCGGTAGGTGCACCCGATTCAGCTGTCCTGCGCGCAGGGTAGGCGAACTGTTGCCATTTTGAACCATTTCATGTGTCTGAAGGTACAAACTCTTTCTTCACGGTGGGCCCAGAGAGTAAATCAAGTGCACTATAGGCCTACCGCTGGCCAATCAGATGGCTCAGATGACCGTGTCTGCAGTAACGTAGCAGGCATAAAAGAAAGCCACAGCAAAGTTGATACTGTGAGATTTCAAAATGTTTAAAACCATGACTAGAGAGAGACTGTGGTCTAAGGCACTGCATCGCAGTGCTAGCTGTGCCACTAGAGATCCTGGTTCGAATCCAGGCTCTGTCGTAGCCGGCCGCGACCGGGAGACCCATGGGGCGGCGCACAATTGGCTCAGCGTCGTCCAGGGTAGGGGAGGGAATGGCCGGCAGGGATGTAGCTCAGTTGGTAGAGCATGGCGTTTGCAACGCCAGGGTTGTGGGTTTGATTCCCACGGGGGGCCAGAATGAAAAATACAAAAAATAATGTATGCACTCATTAACTGTAAGTCGCTCTGGATAAGAGCGTCTGCTAAATGACAAAAAATGTAAATGTAATGAATACAGCAAAGAGATGCTGTTTTTGAGTGAGTTCATGTTTGTTCTTACTCAGCACTGTCAACACTTTGTATTCAACACTTTTTTATAAGCCATAAAATGCGCTTTCTTCCCATTTCCACTCAGCGCTACAACAAGCAGTGCAGCAGTAATGAATGAGTAGGAAAGTGGATATATAGACTTGCGTCGTTATTATTAGCGGCTTGGGTCTTTTTTAAATAATGTAATAATTCACTTTTCTCATAGGAGTAACAACATGAATTGTGCATAAGGCAGAAATAATGTGGTGCGACTCGAGTTTGCCATCAGCTGGAAGACGGTGTCGCTTTTTGGTCAGTGTCAGTGGAGGAACGGGAGAGTAGAGGGATGTTGAGAGGCGGACCCTCAATCTGCTGCTCTCTCCCTCCGCTGAGACTGACCATCAGATGCAGGCACCATCAGCCCAGTAAAATAAAAAGCAAATTATTTAAATGTATGCTCACTCAGCTGTGCCTCACAAGTATCACATTTTGAAATATAATTTTAAAAAATGGCCTGAACAACAATGCATTGGCAAGGCAATTCAAGCAAAGCAAATATGCGGTGATAATGTATTGGGCCTATAGCTTACTGCACAAACCTCATTGCTACAGAACTGTTTTTAATTGGTTAATGTTGCATAGGCTTATGTTTTTTTAAGTAGTGTACGGACTCAGCCCGTACTTTACACAGACCGGTGTGGCATAACCAATCAGAGCTGCAGTAGGCCTATATGCAAATAGACCATTGCCGTATATGGATCTGTGCCATTTACTTTGAACTGGACTGTGTTTACAGCATGAGCGGTCGTGAGTAGATGCGCTTGTTTTGAGATCAAAGCGAGAATTTGTAAAGTGGTTTCTTGCATCAAACACAACAGCATTTTCAGTCACCTCATTGTCTGAAGGACAAGTGGATAAACAGGTTAATGTCAAGCCCTGCATGTTTTTTTCAAAAGTCATGGAATGTAGGCCTACATTGAACACCACACATTGGCTGCTACTGTAGCCTGAATGAAAGAACCACTACACTACTGGTCAAAAGTTTTAGAACACCTACTCATTCAAGGGTTTTTCTTTATTTTTTATTATTTTCTACATTGTAGAATAATAGTGAAGACATCAACACTATGAAATAACACAAGGAATCATGTAGTAACTAAAAAATTGTTAAACAAATCAAAATATACATTATATTTGAGATTCTTCAAATAGCCACCCTTTGCCTTGATGACAGCTTTGCACACTCTTGGCATTCTCTCAACCAGCTTCACCTGGAATGCTTTTCGAACAGTCTTGAAGGAGTTCCCACATGCTGAGCACTTGTTGGCTGCTTTTCCTTCACTCTGCAGTCCGACTCATCCCAAACCATCTCAATTTGGTTGAGGTCCGGAGATTGTGGAGGCCAGGTCATCTGATGCAGCACTCCATCACTCTCCTTCTTGGTATAATAGCCCTTACACAGCCTGGAGGTGTGTTGGATCATTGTCCTGTTGAAAAACAAATTATAGTCCCACTAAGCCCAAACCAGATGGGATGGCGTAAATAAATAAATCAGACAGCGTCCCCAGCAAAGCACCCCCACACCATAACACCTCCTCCATGCTTTACGGTGGGAAATACACATGCAGAGATCATCCGTTAACCAACACCGCGTCTCACAAAGACACGGCGGTTGGAACCAAAAATCTCAAATTTGGACTCCAGAACAAAGGACACATTTCCACCGGTCTAATGTCCATTGCTCGTGTTTCTTGGCCCAAGCAAGTCTCTTCTTATTGGTGTCCTTCAGTAGTGGTTTCTTTGCAGCAATTCGACCATGAAGGCCTGATTCACACCTGTTAATTGAAATGCATTCCAGGTGACTACATCATGAAGCTGGTTGAAAGAATGCAAAGAGTGTGCAAAGCTGTCATCAAGGCAAAGGGTGGCTATTTGAAGAATCTCAAATATAAAATATATTTTGATTTGTTTAACACTTTTTTTGGTTACTACATGATTCCATATGTGTTATTTCATAGTTTTGATGTCTTCACTATTATTATACAATGTAGAAAATAGTGAAAATAAAGAAAAACCCTTGAATGAGTAGGTGTTCTAAAACTTTTGACCGGTAGTGTTAAAATGCTATGGGATGCATTTTCTCCATTGTTTTTGATGGTAGGCCACTCCTGGTAGGCCTACATTATGATCAAATAGCCACAGTAGCCTATATGGCCACTGTTAAAACTGTAACTTAAAGGTGGTACAGCCTCAGTGTTAACAGTAAATGCGCGCTGAAAGTTGCAAAGAATTTTCACAATGGTCAAGTTTTAGCTCAGCAGACCTGAAATTTGCTCAGTGCCGGAAAAAATTAGAGGGAACATTGGAGACAACTACAAAAGATTAGCCCTATGAGCAGTAGATACATGATGATAGCAGTAGATACATGATGATAGCAGTAGATACATGATGATGTTTGAAGGCTTACAACAAATGTCAGAACTCGGGAATAAACATTAGGACTGTTGTTGTTTACAGGGCAGCACTTTGAGGAAGAGGAAGATGTACGAGGAGTTCCTCAGTAAAGTCTCCATCTTAGGTAAGGCTCACTGTTTCTTCTCATCTTTGACTTTTCCCCTGTAATAATAATGATTATAGCAACTTGCATACAGTGGCTTTCAAGACGCTGTTCATTGCCGGAGGGGTTAACAACTCTACTTCCACCACCTAGCTGTACTGTACAGTGGCTTCCTTTTGGTTCTGTATTGTGATGTCACTTACGCCCCTGCCTCGTGACTCCACCCCCTCAGAGTCTCTGGACAAATGGGAGCGTCTGACGGTGGCTGACTCTCTGGAGCCGGTGCAGTTTGATGACGGACAGAAGATCGTGGTGCAGGGAGAGCCTGGCGACGAGTTCTTCATCATACTGGAGGTATGTACATCACATTAGAGTACCTCCCCGTTTCTTTTTTTTTTTTTTTCAAAACCTTTTCTCCCGACTGAACACTACCCTGATGTTGGTGTTCTTTGTTCTGTAGGGTTCTGCAGCTGTGTTGCAGCGTCGCTCTGAGAACGAGGAGTTTGTGGAGGTTGGGAGGTTACAACCGTCTGACTACTTTGGTAAGAAGAACCTCCTCAGGCATCAATCAATTTCAATCAATTTTATTTTATATAGCCCTTCTTACATCAGCTAATATCTCGAAGTGCTGTACAGAAACCCAGCCTAAAACCCCAAACAGCTAGTAATGCAGGTGTAGAAGCACGGTGGCTAGGAAAAACTCCCTAGAAAGGCGAAAACCTAGGAAGAAACCTAGAGAGGAACCAGGCTATGAGGCCTCTTCTTCTCATCAAGTTTCTTTCTCGATTCATTTTGTTTATATATGCACTATATAACCCTGAATCTCACATTTTTAAGGCGATATGATAAAAGCACGAAGCTCTAACCTGAGTTGTGAAGCCTCACATATGGAGGTTAGATTAGAATAAATGAACCAGATTTGTGATGCCTGTTTTGTATTGACCATGTATGCCGTTCCTCCAGGTGAGATTGCCCTGCTGATGAACCGTCCCCGTGCTGCCACTGTGGTCGCCCGCGGTCCTTTGAAGTGTGTGAAGCTGGACCGACCACGGTTCGAACGTGTCCTGGGACCCTGCTCGGACATTCTCAAACGCAACATCCAACAGTACAACAGCTTCGTGTCACTGTCTGTCTGAGGGGTTTCCCCCACCCCCTGTATCCCCCTACCCCCTATTCTCCTGTGTAACACCATAACACCCCCTGTGTAACCCCATAACACCCCCTCCCCCCAATCCCCTAATCCCCTATGTAACCCCATCAACAGACCACCCCCTCCTCCCTGTACCCACCCACCCCCCTACCCTCATCCCCTATTAACCCATAACCACCAGCCCCGCCCCCTGTACCCCCCCCTACCCTAATCCTGTCCCCTATGTAAACACCCCATACGCTACCCCCTCCCCCTGTACCCCCCCCGACCCCAATCCCCTATGTACCCCATAACAAACACCCACTCCCCCTGTACCCCCCCCTCCCCTAATCCCCTATGTAACCCCATACCACCCCCTCCCCCTGACCCCCCCCTACCCCAATCCCCTATGTAACCCCATACCACCCCCTCCCCCTGTACCCCCCCCTACCCTAATCCCCTATGTAACCCCATACCACCCCCTCCCCCTGTACCCCCCCCCTACCCCAATCCCCTATGTAACCCCATAACACCCCCTCCCGCTGTTGTACCCCCCCCTACCCCAATCCCCTATGTAACCCCATAACACCCCTCCCCGTGTACCCACCCTATCCCCTAATCCCCTATGTAACCCCATAACACCCCCTCTTTTAAACCCAGGGTCCACCAATGCAATTTTGCTTCAATGTTACTTCATTTTATCTTCCATTTGCTTAGGCTTTTTTTTACTCATAAATGTTATGCTACCCGTCACAGTCATCTATACGAGCACAGTTATGTTACAGTTTATGTTACATGTACCTGCTTCATATGGTATGCTTTCACTGCATTCACTGAAATCTATAATTGTTTTACTCTAGTTTAAACACGAGCAGTGATTAGTAGGGGATTGGCCGAGGTTAGGACAGGCCAATGATAAGATGGGACAATCAAATGTAACATGGTGAAGTAAGTATCCATGCTCAATATTGTTCAGATATTTTTGAACTAGTTTGGTTCCAATAAAAATGTGTCAAAGTTGACATCCTCACAAAATAATTCATCAAATTTTACCTTTCAGAATTAAAAGAATGCTGGGAGCATAATGATTATGTAGCTTTCATGCTATGATAATCAATGGTTATCCTCCATTGTTACAGTACAGTCAATCGCAGACATTTTTTCATTTTCTCATATTGTTTCCATTGATTGGTCCATCAATCCAATTCACTATTATTTTATCTAGTTTGAGAGAGTTTGTACAACTTAATGCAACCAGAAAGTTTTCTGTTGGACAGCTACCAAACTAGTGCCAAATGTTGGTAATTGTTTTCACAACTCAGAACCCATAGAAGATTCTCATTCTGTCAGAAGCAGTGGAACTCAAAACAGGAAGTATCTATCGCCATGTTAACACTCACCTCTGATTGGTTGGTACATTTTTGGCTACAATAGGGGGGGAAAACATGGAGTATTAAAGTGTGTTTCAGTATTCAGCATTTTTCAGTATACACCAAATAACTTCATCACTATACTGCTATGTTTTTTAAAAACATAATTATTATTACATAGTTCTGACAATTATTATCGAAGTTATTGTTCTCTTTATTGACTTAACGAACTAACGTTATGGGTTGGAGTGATGGTAAAGTTAAGTACGTTTAAATGTCTTTTTGTAAATGCTTATTTTTCCATAAATTCTATTTTAGGTGTTCAGTGCCACGGCGTAAATAAATGCTTCTTCTTGTCAACCGACAAAACAGTATGTAGTTGTATTGTGACAAATGTCATGGGTTAACCTCTAAAAGTAGGCGAAAGGGCTTTAAAGTAATTAACATATAAATCTCAATTGTAGATGGTTTTATGGTTTTAAGACTTAATTATTTATGTATTTAAGCGCAAAAGTTAAAGCGTAACAAAGAATCCCAACGACTGGTGATTCAGACATCAGATTAAATTGTCATGAGTTTTAAGATGATATATTTATTTTAAAGCAGCTTCGCTGTTAAAGCGTTGTGAAAATTATTTGAATGTCTTTTTGAAACAATCTGTGATCTACTCTATGCTTACCTACAGCATAATGTAAAGTGATGAGATGGTGTGAATGAAATAGTATTCTCAAACTGCCCCTGTGTTGGTCAAACAACAGTTGGTCATTCGCTAACAGCTTCACCCCTTGAATCTTAAGAACACACGTCATTTTTTTTTTTTTACTACCTCCTGCAGAAATCTATATTCTCTAGGTCGTATTCCTGTTCATTCCTGCCTCACAGCTTGCCCCTCAGACCCTTACATACAGTAATGCTATTATCCCTTTCTGAGGTATTCTGTTTGTTTAGGCTCTGTCATGTTTCCAATGTTAATCTTATGTACAAAACAGTATGGCTGACTGGATGGATGGATTGACTTGTGTAACCGTATGTTTGTATGTTCAAAACCAATCAACATGATACTGAGTCGATTGCAGTGTTGCCTACTTGGTCCAAAACTTTTGTATTGCTTTCAGATTGTTGATGTTCTGGAATATTGCAGGTCTCTATTTGCTGACAGTTCATACCCCCACCAGTGGTTTGCTGGTGTTTCTTCACATAGAAGTATTGATATGGTAAAACACATCACAAGATTACTACTCACTAGTAGGCACACTGCAATCCACCCAGTTTGCCTTAGCTTATGTAACCCGGGCGTAGACGCTCCTGCTAGCCTGACCTTCAGCAAGTTTGCGGGGCCTGCAGCAGGCTCTGAGAGCTGCAGGTCATCTGAGGACCATTCTTTTTCTATTCTACCCAATGACTACTCTGTTTGACTTTCTGTATGTGCAAAGACGTTTATCCTTTTGGTATAGATTGTTCCAGATGGCAGTTTAAGCAATAAAAAGGTAAAATGACCTGTGAGTCCTATACGTCTTTACTCATTGTGTCTGAATATACCCGAACTATAATAATGGAGAAATAGTCCCAATTGTATTCTGTAGTAAATAAGGTGCAATATATTCTCTGAACTCTGGAGGGCAGTGCAGTACCTCTTCTCAATAGACTTCAGTGGTTTCTTTTAAGATTAAGGTCACTTTATTGGTCAATCGCCCACAAGGTCCAACTGAAATTTGACCCAACCCCTCTGAAAGACACACATATACAGGTTTTAGAGAGGTGTCTGGGGCTGGCACGCTGGGTGCCCGGGCAGCTGCTGTTGTGGGGGGTTAAGTGCCTTGCTCAAGGGCACAACTGCAGGCAATGGCATCTAGGATTTAATACCAGCAACCTGTCGGTTGCCAGCTCACTTCCTGCCAGATTTTGCCCATTATTCACTACACCCACATCAACCGAGAGAACAGGACAGGACAGGTGAAGGAAAATCCCCAGGAGGGCCTCACATTCTGTTTTATTGGTTCAGTGCATATGAAGGAAGGAGATGAGGAAAGGAAGCCCCTTTAGATTATTGAGATGCACCCCATTGATGGTGGTCACTGAAATGAGATGTTTAACTGTCGGTGGAATACTGTTTTGTATGAATAGTCTTTTGAACAATTACCAAGCATGATGGTGTTGGATGATGTGAGCAATGACCACAAAAAGGCTTGAAATAGGTTGAAAGAAAGCGACACACACTTCATCAGAGAGCTTATAAAGTTAGTAAACCCAGAACCCACTCCTGCATGTAGTTAAGATCAGTCACAGAGCCTTTATTGTTGCTGACACCTTATAAAACGGTCAAACATAAGCTCCATCCAGTAGTGTTGGACAGAATCCAAACTTCATTTGGGGTGATTTCACTTTACTCTTTAAAATAGTAGTGGTTTTTCTCCCTCTCTTCTAAAACATCAGGATGCCATGGATTTGTAGTCAGGACAACAATGAGAACAGCTCAGAGCAAAAGGTCCAGACATGTTGAGATGAAATGGCATCCAACAGAACGTTATTTGAAGACAAAGCTTTGATTCAGACTAGTTAGAACAAAGTATAGCTGGTGGTGACATGATAAGTTGCACGTCCTCATACAGTACTGTAGCTGTGATGAGGGGGTATCTACGTCAGGGTGTGTTATGGTTGGCTTGGTGTTGTGAAAGCACTTAAAGGGCTGACACATCCTGATGAGACAGTCAGACGGACACCTCCTGATGAGACAGACAGACAGATACCTCCTGTTGAGGCAGACAGTCAGACGGACACCTCCTGATGAGACAGACAGACAGACAGACAGTCACCTGATGAGACAGACAGACACTTCCTGATGAGACAGTCAGACAGACGGACACTTCCTGATGAGAGAGAGACAGCTCTTGATGAGACAGTCAGATAGACAGACAGATGGACAGACAGACAGACACCTCCTGATTAGACAGAAAGACACCTCCTGATGACACAGACAGACAGCTCTTGATGAGACAGACAGACAGACAGACACCTCCTGATGAGACAGAAAGACAGACAGGTGAACAGACAGACAAACAGACAGGGATTAGATGCTGCCTTTCTCCACAACCCCTCACCCCCTCCTCTGTCACAACCTCTTTTAAATCGCTTTCTCTCTCTTCCCCCCAAAGATGACATGTCTTGTTTGTACTCCAAAGTACCCCGCGGCCCATGGTCAATGACTCCTCATCACTCACCTATTCACAGTCTAATGTGGATCTAGATCAACCAAAACAACAACACAACAGAAAGTGATCACTAAGTTCATCATATCAGAGTTTTCTTCAAACAATCACCCAAAATTAGAACTTTATTTAGTCATTTATATTTGATAAAACATCTGTTGGCACATTATTACTTTACCAAACCGATGTGAAATCATTCTTACATAGAACTCAAAGCAATTTAATTTCAAAAGCTGTCCCTAAATGTCTTTATTGATGTCACATGACTGTTGGATACTATAGAAGGGCATGAGGCTGAAATCATCTTACATTATCCAGTGCTTCTTCCACAGTAATTTGGCTCATTGGATGCAGTCATACTGTAGGTCCATTTCAATGCACTGCAAGGCAGAGGGGATCTCCAGAGAGGGTGCAATGCCTGGGAGGACTGGGTGACATACGGGTGACCACATAGCCCAAGGCCACGGGTGACATTTTGACAGTGCAGGAAAGCAGTGCTGCTGTCTATTGACAAAACAGGCTGTATAATTTCAAAGGTTTGACTTGAAAGACTAGCAGTAGCAGTGTAAAATCACTGGGAAGCCAAGCCAAACCAGAATAAAAGCCATATTCCAATAAAATAAAATGTTATTTGTCGCATGTGCTGAACACAACAGGTGTAGTAGACCTTACTGTGAAATGCTTACTTACAAGCCCTTAACCAACAGTTCAAGAAATAGAGTTTTACTAAATAAACTAAAGTAAAAAATAAAATAAAATGTTACACAATAAAATAACAATAGCGAGGCTATATACAGGGGGTACCAGTACCGAGTCAATGTGCGGGGGTACAGGTAGTCGAGGTAATTTGTACATGTAGGTAGGGGTAAAGTGGTATAAGGGTAAACCTATATTGTGATAATTGCGTTGTTTGCTCTATAACCCATTAATTCATACGTCACCGTGATATACAATAAGGCCAAGGCCGTGACAACAAAAAGACAAGTCACACAGTGGCGGAATACATTTTACTACACAATCACAAAACCGGAGAGCAACATCTGTCTGGTGAAGTCCACAAAGCAAATATTGCATGTAAAAAACAGTTCTATGACCTGCAGCATGTTCAAGCAAGTTAATGTTTTCAATAGTTTACTAAACAACTACTGATTTAGAATCACTGAGTTACCGCAAGTCAGCACAAAGACAATGGGAGCACTGCCTCCCCTATTCCAGCACCATTTCAACTTAAACATGATCAAATCAACAAGGCTATATATGCTTAGTTTAATACACTGAAAACAAACTTAAAGATGCCAAAAACAATTTAGTCCAATCAATGTTGCTAAATATCATGTGGCTGTCCATGGTACTGATTTCTGTCCGTGTGTGAGTGCGTGCTTGCGTGCGCACGCAAGTAAAAAAAATGTTGGGGACTCACCCTACTTCTAGATTAGTTGAACGCTGTCCTCCTCTCTTTCATGTTGGCAAAACGGTCTACGGTTTTGTACGCTTTTAGTTTTAGTTTTCATAGGCTACCTAGCTAAAATGCTTGCTAGCCTAACTTGAACCAGCTAAGTTAGCTAGCTAGTTAACGTGAGCCTACTAGACTACATCTGGGCTACATATTGAACTCCAATCGTTTCAGGCCAGTGGCACAACATATGGATCTATGGTTAGATCAGAATTGCCGTCGTAACCAACTGGCCTGTAAAGAGAATAAAGTCATCACCACAAGTCCAAATCCCCATCTCCATCCATGGCTTAGGAAATGGCCGATTTAGCAAGCTAGCTACTGCAGGACATCAACACAAGCAGACCAGAAACAGACGTTTTTCTGACAGTAATGAAGTTTTGCTCAGGATGTGATTTGATTGGTGTGAACCCAAATCCAAACTGACCTCCCTTGGAGGCGTTTTGCTGCGCCAGGACAACCCACAGTTGAGCTCAGCTCAATGCTGATTGACTGATTATTTTATACTTTTTTATCAAGGGAGGTCAAATGCTTGCTGGCATCAATCAATCAAATGCTACGGCGGCAACATGTCATACACTTTTGGTCCAGACAGCATCAGATACATGGGCTACACATACTGAGACACAGTGTTAAACAAATCAAAATGTACTTTATATTTGAGATTCTTCAAATAGCCACCTTGATGACAGCTTTGCACACTCTTGGCATTCTTTTAACCAGCTTCATGAAGTAGTCACCTGGAATGCATTTCCATTAACATGTGTGCCTTCTTAAAAGTTAATTTGTGGAATTTCTTTCCTTCTTAATGTGTTTGAGCCAATCAGTTGTGTTGTGACAAGGTAGGGGGGGCTATACAGAAGATAGCCCTATTTGGTAAAATACCAAGTCTGTATTATGGCAAGAACAGCTCAAATAAGCAAAGAGAAACAACAGTCCATCATTACTTTAAGACATGAAGGTCAGTCAATACGGAACATTTCAAGAACTTCAAGTGCAGTCGCAAAAACCATCAAGTGCTATGATGAAACTGGCTCTCATGAGGACCGCCACAGGAATGGAAGACCCAGAGTTACCCCTGCTGCAGAGGATAAGTTCATTAGGGTTACCAGCCTCCGAAATTGCAGCCCAAATAAATGCTTCACAGAGTTCAAGTAACCGACAGATCTCAACATCAACTGTTCAGAGAAGACTGTGTGAATCAGGCCTTCATGGTCGAATTGCTGCAAAGAAACCACTACTAAAGGATACCAATAAGAAGAAGAGACTTGCTTGGGCCAAGAAACACAAGCAACGGACATTAGACCAGTGGAAATGTGTCCTTTGGTCTGGAGTCCAAATTAGAGATTTTTGGTTCCAACTGCTGTGTCTTTGTGAGACACGGTATGAGTGAATGGATGATCTCCGCATGTGTATTTCCCACCGAAAGCATGGAGTAGGAGGTGTTATGGTGTGGGGGTGCTTTGCTGGCTACCACAGCATTCTGCAGCGATACGCCATCCCATCTGGTTTGGGCTTAGTGGGACTATCATTTGTTTTTCAACAGGACAATGACCCAAAACACCTCCAGGCTGTGTAAGGTCTATTCACCAAGAAGGAGAGTGATGGAGTGCTGCATCAAATGACCTGGCCTCCACAATCCCCCAACCCCAACCCAGTTGAGATGGTTTGCAATGAGTCGGACCGCAGAGTGAAGGAAAAGCAGCCAACAAGTGCTCAGCATATGTGGGAACTACTTCAAGACTGTTGGAAAAGCATTCCAGGTGAAGCTGGTTGAGAGAATGCCAAGAGTGTGCAAAAGCTGTCATCAAGGCAAAGGGTGGCTATTTGAAGAATCTCAAATATAAAATATATTTTAATTTGTTTAACACTTTTTTGGTTAGTACATGATTCCATATGTGTTATTTCATAGTTTTGATGTCTTCACTATTATTCTGCAATGTAGAAAATAGTAAAAATAAAGAAAAACCCTTGAATGAGTATGTGTGTCCAAACTTTTGACTGGTACTGTATATATTTTTCTAATATTCTGGGAAGCTTGGCTTCCCTTGGCATCCATGAATACACGCCACTGAAAACTAGTGCAGAATGCATTACTCTGTGAGAGAGACCAGACCCTGTGCTTCCGGCTTTTACAGGACGGGGTGACCTGCCATCATGATCCTCAGGCTGTCCTTGGTCTATAGTTACCTTCCCTTGCAGGACTTGGGGATACCTCCAAAATGTCAACCTATTCCTCTATTATAGTGCACTTCTTTTGACCAGAGCCACATGCCTCAGTTTGGATTCCTTAGGAACCTTAGTTACCTCTCCTTGTTGGGCGTAGCCACTGGTTTGACAGACTCAGGCATGGTGGAGGTATCAATAAAGTCTGTCGTGATCACCTGAGCTTCTCCCAGCCTGCGGAAACACCTGTGGACTGTCTTCAGGACGCGGTGCAGCCGGCGGTCTAGGGCCTGCAGGTGGGGCTCAGCGAGAACCGGCTGCAGTGCGTCTCCTCCCAGGGATTCCCTCATCACGTCACTGAGCCTATAGTGGTCCTGTGAGAGGAGCTGCAGCCGCAGCAACGTGGAATGCTTTATACTGAGAGGTGAGGAGTGGCGGGAGAGGGGGTAGAGGGGGAGAGAGAATGTGGGAGAGATGGGCGGAGAGTGAGACTTGACTCGACAGTTGCCATGCCAAGTTTTTTCAATAAAGGTTAAATATTGGTGTCAGTTAATCTGTGTTAGTGACTAGTGTATGCTCTCCATATTTACATGCAGCACTGTGACAGTGGAGCCAGTATGGACATCTCATCATGAGAATGCTTCCCAAACCTGAAACACAGGAAGTGATGTCATCATAAGGGAACGACAAATATTCCATGGTAGAATGACTGAAGTTATATATAGCAACTCTAGTACCCACCCTTTGGCGTTGTCAAAGTGAAGAAGGAAACCTTCATCGCCAAACTTAGTGAAGATCTCATAATGATGCCTATCCATGTTACCTGAGGGAGAGTGCCAAGAACAAATATTCACTCACATAGGGCTACAGACAAAATTAGAGCACTGTAATTGGAAGTCATTTGGGACACAACATGATTATTCACTGTATAGACAAAGATAGTGCACTACATAGGTAATAGGGTGTCATATGGGATGAGGACAGGGGTCCATCAGGGGTGATGGGTGGTAGTACGTACCAATGAGGAAGTCAAAGATGGCCATGTCTATGATGTTGAGCAACCTGTTCCCTGAGTTGTAGGGATACAGCTGCTTTATGGTGTCACAGTAGAAGGGGTTCACCTCCCACCTGGTAGAGACAGACAGATTATAACAAGATATTATAACATTTACATTTACGTCATTTAGCAGACGCTCTTATCCAGAGCGACTTACATTATTATTTTTATTTTTCATACCCCCGTGGGAATCGAACCCACAACCCTGGCGTTGCAAACGCCATGCTCTACCAACTGAGCTACATCCCTGCCGGCCATTCCCTCCCCTACCCTAGACGACGCTGGGCCAATTGTGCGACAGAGCCTGGATTCGAACCAGGATCTCTAGTGGCACAGCTAGCACTGCGATGCAGTGCCTTAGACCACTGCGCCACTCGGGAGACCATAACAATATATTATAAGATATTATAAGATATTATAACAAGATAGTATAACAAGATATGAATTGTAACAATATGAATGTTCAGTCTGCAATATTGACTTATCATAAATGAACAGTAAAATGGAGATAGGAAGAGATGTGTAGGTCTCAGGGTTAAGGTCTCAGGGTTAAGGTCTCAGGTTTAAGGGTTGAATGCTTACTCCTCCCTGCCAGTGAAGGTGTATGATCGTATCCAGGGGTTGGGGATGGAGATGCGAGGGGCGATGCTGAGACCGGGGAGGTAGGCAGACATGGAGCCCTCCAGCAGGTCAGGGTTCCCACACACAGCGTACTCTGTCTTACACACGTACAGACACTTGGCAAAGAAACAGGTGTTGTTCGCTGTTTGGAAGAGAATATACATAGATATAGATTAGTTTAAACCAGCATTACGCCGATTTCATCATCGCCTTTTAATCATAGACTGATTATTTAAGACCTAGGTAGCAAGGTAATGCATACATGGAGGGGTAATGCCTACCTGGAGAGGTAAAGAACACACTCCTTAGGTCCTCGTTGTGAGTGGTCAGGAGAATCTCCCCCGTTACGTTCACCAGCCTGCCCACCACCGGCGGTACCCTCCGGAAGTCCAGGATTCTAGAAGAGAGAAAGAGAAGAGTTCCATTCTGATGAACACAAACTCAAACATCTTCTACGACTCAGAGTTCTAGAAGAAAGAGTTCCATTCTGATGAACACAAACTCAAACATCTTCTACGACTCAGAGTTCTAGAAGAAAGAGTTCCATTCTGATGAACACAAACTCATACATCTTCTATGACTCAGAGTTCTAGAAGAAAGAGTTCCATTCTGATGAACACAAACTCATACATCTTCTACGACTCAGAGTTCTAGAAGAAAGAGTTCCATTCTGATGAACACAAACTCATACATCTTCTACGACTCAGAGTTCTAGAAGAAAGAGTTCCATTCTGATGAACACAAACTCAAACATCTTCTACGACTCAGAGTTCTAGAAGAAAGAGTTCCATTCTGATGAACACAAACTCATACATCTTCTATGACTCAGAGTTCTAGAAGAAAGAGTTCCATTCTGATGAACACAAACTCATACATCTTCTACGACTCAGAGTTCTAGAAGAAAGAGTTCCATTCTGATGAACACAAACTCATACATCTTCTACGACTCACAGTTCTAGAAGAAAGAGTTCCATTCTGAACAGAAGACACAATAGAAAGTTAGATGAACTCATAGCTCCTGCAATCTCTCACCTCAGTTGACACACACAAAGTCACAGGAAATTAATTAAACTTGAATTATTTGTATACATAATAACGCCTATGTGATTGTCTCTGTTCTCCGCTGTGTAATCTAGCAGGTGTTGATGTGTAGCAACAGCCACTTCCCCCAGGGCCATATTAACAGTCTGACAGGCCTGTGTGTCTCAATAACAGTCATCAGTCAGTATCTGAGGCTGGATAAAGAGATGTTATTGAGGTGCTGTCTGGGCTGGCGTATCTCACCTGCTGATTGGGTCTGATAATGATAAGGCCTCTGGCACAACACAGAGACAAAGAGACAGAGACACAGAGACAGAGACACAGCACAGAGACACAGAGACACAGAGACAGAGACAGAGACACAGCACAGAGACACAGAAACACAGAGACACAGAGACACAGACACAGAGACAGAGAGACAGGGACACAGCATAGAGACACAGCATAGAGACACAGAGACACAGAGACACAGACACAGATACAGAGAGACAGGGACACAGCACAGAGACACAGCACAGAGACACAGCACAGAGACACAGAGAGACAGAGAGACAGAGACACAGAGACACAGAGACAGAGACACAGAGACAGAGAGACAGAGAGACAGAGAGACAGAGACAGAGAGACAGAGAGACAGAGAGACAGAGACAGAGACACAGAGACAGAGACTGTGGTGGGAACACACAGACAGACCAGACATATTCAGTGCTAGACAGTACTGTAGTGTAGAGTCACAGTGTTCAATGAAGGTATGATAACAGAGCATGTAGTGTAGAGCCACAGTGTTCAATGAAGGAATGATAACAGAACATGTAGTGTAGAGCCACGGTGTTCAATGAAGGAATGATAACAGAACATGTAGTGTAGAGCCTCAGTGTTCAATGAAGGAATGATAACAGAACATTTACTCTTTGCTTTTCTTCTTTGCCACTTCATTAAAATGTGAATTTACAAAACGATATATTGTGAGTAGGGGTGTAACGATTCGTTTTAACAACGATTCGATTTGTATCACGATTCGTGGTTGTCGATACGATTCAAGGACGATATTGGTTCATTTAGAACGATACGATCCGAAACGATTCAGTGACTTGAAATCGATTCAGTAACCTTTTAGCCAAAAATTCAACCAGTGTGACTGAAATAAATACCTGGATACTGGACAGTGCAGGTGAAGTTTCCTAGATTCCTGTTTCTTGTAAGGACCGCAATGGTGGCTTGATAATTTCTCGCTCGTCGGCTTCTCCTCTGTCGTCCGCCATGCTATGTTTTGTTGTCTTTGCGCCTTTGCGCTGCTGCTGGCACGGGGCGATGACGTCACGGATAGGCAGACTGAATCGAGTAATGTTTAAAGCCTTTATCATTAAAAGTGCTAAGAAAAAACATCCATATAAAGTCTGACGTGCTTAAATCCAATGGGTTATTTCCTAGTATCGATACAATCGATTTATTACATTTTAAAACGATGTTAGATTGATATATGTTGTCCAAAAGGCCAACTCGCCGAGCACAGATCGATGTAGTTGGATCATAGGAATATAAATCGATACATCGATGTAGTAGATGGATCGTTACACCCCTAATTGTGAGGTAAAAATGTATTTGACGTAATAACTTAACTTATTTGAGCTTTATTGGTGGTTTTTAGCCTACACCCAGTTACACCCTTCCATGTTGTTGTTGTGTCCCAAGGTATAACAACCACATTGACTTGATGTCTCGTGTGGTTCTAGGTTGACAAGCTGTGACTGTAATGACTGTATTTGACTGATGACTCACTTGAGTTAATGTGCAGTAACCTGGAGGTATGGAGGTTAGAGAGACTTTACAGTAGACAGAAGTAATTACACCTATGTGTGTGGAAATCAAATGCCTTGCTGGGGAAGGAGACATGTTGAAATAGCGGAGAGACTATAATCTCCCAAGGACACTATCTTTCACAATCACAGAGATGGAGGTAGAAGTTTCAGGCTCTGTTTGTTGGAAGACCACTTGGCGTTACAATAGGGAATACAGTAGGAGTACAGTAGGGCCTACAGTAGGAGTTACAGTAGGAGATACAGTAGGCAATATAGTAGGAGATACAGTAGGGGATACAGTAGGAGATACAGTAGGAGATACAGTAGGGGATACAATAGGAGATACAGTAGAAGATACAGTAGCATATACAGTAGGGCTACAGTAGGAGTTACAGTAGGAGATACAGTATTCTTGAAAATCATTCCATTTGAAGGGTTCTTATGCTTTTCCATAACTGAATGGAAAAGGAATGTCTTTGTCAAAAAATAGGTTCAATCCTTGAGAGATTTCCTGGTAAGATAAAGGTTGAATAGAACAAAGTAAATATGAGGAGAGTACAGGTTGCCAAGGTTACCTGTCCAGGTGAAAAGCAGCAATCTCAGCGTTGTGTCTCTGGAAGTCGACAAAGTAGAACACATCATCAGGAGTCTCCTGGTCTCTCTGCTGTCTGAGGAACAAATGATTCATAGAACTACAGTACTGTTCAAAATATCACTACAAACCAGAGCACTCCCCCTGATTGATTTCCCCAGAAACATTCACCTCATGGGTTTGAACATGGCCTTGCCAAAGTTCTGCATCTTCAGGGCCAGCTTGAGGTGGTGTCCACTGGGCTTTACCACTAAGAGACAGGGAAAGAGAGAGAGAGAGAGCAAGAGAGAGAGAGAGAAACAGAGAGAAACAGAGAGAGAGACAGAGAGAGACAGAGAGAGAGAAAGAAATAAAGAGAGAGAGAAACAGAGAGAGAAACAGAGAGAGACAGAGAGAGAGATAGAGAGCGATAGACAGAGAGAGAAAGAGAGAGAAAGAGAGAGAAACAGAGAGAGAGAGAGAAAGTGAGAGACAGAGAGCGAGAGAAAGAAAGAGAGAGAAACAGAGAGAGAGATAGAGAGCGATAGACAGAGAGAGAAAGAGAGAGAAACAGAAAGAGAGAGAGAGAGCGATAGACAGAGCGCGAAAGAGAGAGAGAAATAGAGAGAGAGAGATAGACAGAGAGAAAGAGAGGAGAAAGAGAGAGAAACATAGAGAGAGAGAGAAAAAGTGAGAGACCGAGAGAGCAGAGAAAGAAAGAGAGAGAAACAGAGAGAGAGAGAGAGAGATAGAACATTAGAAGAACAGAGAGAGCGAGAGAGAGAGAGTAGAGAAGAGAGAGAGAGAGAGAGAGAGAGAGAGAGAGAGAGAGAGAGAGAGAGAGAGAGAGAGAGAGAAAGACGTTTACGGATCAGACAGGAAATGAACTAAATTAATCATTTTGTCTAACCGACCACTCCGCCAACCACCTGCCCTCAGCTGCTGTGTCTGGCGTGTTGGCCAACCTTAGCTCACTAAAAAAACTATCCAAAAAACACATAGTTGGTCAGGAATCTGACCCAAGTTTATTTTGAAACTCCAATCCTTGGGGTTTATTGTTGACTCTGTTCGATATTATTTTCTCTGCTCTACATCTGTTTCAGCCTGGACCTGTTCCCAATGATAAGATAATGACAGAGGCTGTAATGGTTCTACAGATGGAGGACTACCCTCAGCAGGGTTTCTTCATGCCTAACCAGTATCCATAAAGACACACGCTTCTCCTCCTGATTCCAGCTGATTCAGCTCAGTCTTCTGAAGCTGTATCTTATTAATAGTTTACAATCTCTCTCTGCTGTGTTTAACTGGAGGGGAATCAAACAGACAAAAACAAGCTTTGAAGAGCAATGGGCACATTGTTGCTTTTCAGCAGTTCAAGAATAATTGGTTGAAAAAGCCATATAATAATAAAAGTAGGACGGAGGAATAGAGGATTTGTGTGTGTTGTTGCTGAGGTTGGAGCCATCAGTGTGTTTTCAGAGAGTGTGGTTGAAGGAGCTACAAATCTTAGAATGCATCCGGCTGCTGTTAGGCGAGATTGGTGTGTGTGTGTGTGTGTGTGTGTGTGTGTGTCTGTGTGTCTGTCTGTCTGTCTGTCTGTTTGTCTGTTTGTCTGTGAGCGTGTGTGTGTGTGTCCATATTCTGAGTTGTTTGTTGCTTGAAGGTATAGCTATGCTGTGGAGACTGCCGGTGTGTAGGATTCTGTGGCATCACCCCACTCTCTGGTGTGTAGGATTCTGTGGCATCACCCCACTCTCTGGTGTGTAGGATTCTGTGGCATCACCCCACTCTCTGGTGTGTAGGATTCTGTGGCATCACCCCACTCTCTGGTGTGTAGGATTCTGTGGCATCACCCCACTCTCTGGTGTGTAGGATTCTGTGGCATCACCCCACTCTCTGGTGTGTAGGATTCTGTGGCATCACCCCACTCCTGCTCTCTGAGATAAAGCTTTTTAAAGAACACTAAATGAGCCTCTCTCTGCCTCCAAGGATGTGACTTATGAAGATCCGGAGAGTCTGAGAAATTAAAACGATGCTAATTTATGGGGCTTGGATGAAAACAAATGTATTGTCAGTGGTGCAACAGGGTGTTCGGCTCTGATAGCACGACTGAGGAGCAAAAAACAGGGAGAAAAAACTACAAAAGAAGCAGTCATGAAGAGGACTGTGTCAACTGATTCTCTCTTCCCTCTCATTTTCTCCCGGTCCTCCTCAAAACAACCATTGACACGCCAGAGCATAATGGAAAACATTTGAAAAGGAATGTATGTTAAACACAAAACACACAAATCATGCAGACACAAAACAGAGCAGATACGTAGACAAGACAGGACCTTACCCTGGGTACAGTCACACGCTCCTTTGAGGGCCTTTTCATCTTGAGTGTAATCTGCATAAAGACATTTCTGCAATGAATACCTATAACAATTATATAGATGGCTAATTATTAAAGCATGAGGTCCTATAGCACCTACATGCACTGTTGACAGTGACTTTAATGCTCATATGAATTGTTATAACGCTCATATGAATACCGCTTATATGAATGGTTATAACGCCCATACAACAAGTCATACCTGCGCTGATGACAGTGGTGGCCTGCATGTCTTGTAGCAGGCGGGTGATGGCGGGGTTGTCACGGGCGTACAGGGCATAGCGGTTGATGCCCAGGTGGAACTTCAGCCAGCTGGCCTCAGGGTCAAAGGTCACCTGGTGTTCCAGCATTGTCATGTTGAGGGCTGCCGCAGCCTTGCTGTACAGCTTCATATGCCTGAGGGGAAGGGACGGGGGTGGGGAGGGGGAAGATGGGGAGAGAGAAAGGGAGAGCGTGGGAGTGGGTTTAGGGTTATGCATAGCCTTGCACTTGCTGTACGACGTCATATTGTATGCCTGAGGGGGAGAGAGAGGTGGTCAAAACGAGGTCATAGTTAGGGTATGCCAAACAGAGTTATCCTTGAAAATCTGCGATACACACTGTGAAACTCATACAGTATCAAATCAAATCAAACTTGATTGAAAGCACCTTTAAAAATCGAACTCCCATGGTCAGGACAAGTGTTGCTTCAAAGGACCAACAATCATCCAAACCTTTAGGATATTTCCACAGAGGCGAACAGACTGAGAGGAGAACAGACTGAGAGGAGAACAGACAGAGGAGAACAGACTGAGAGGGGAACAGACTGAGAGGAGAACAGACAGAGGAGAACAGACTGAGAGGAGAGCAGACTGACAGGAGAACAGACTGAGAGGAGAACAGACTGAGAGGAGAACAGACTGAGAGGAGAACAGACTCACAGGAGAACAGACTGAGGAGAAAAGATTCACAGGAGAACAGACTGAGGAGAACAGATTCACAGGAGAACAGACTCACAGGAGAACAGACTCAGAGGAGAACAGACTGAGAGGAGAACAGACTGAGAGGAGAACAGACAGAAGAGAACAGACTGAGAGGAGAACAGACTGAGAGGAGAACAGACTCACAGGAGAACAGACTGAGGAGAACAGATTCACAGGAGAACAGACTCACAGGAGAACAGATTCAGAGGAGAACAGACTGAGAGGAGAACAGACAGAAGAGAACAGACTGAGAGGAGAACAGACTCACAGGAGAACAGACTGAGGAGAACAGATTCACAGGAGAAAAGACTCACAGGAGAACAGACTCAGAGGAGAAACAAATGGAGAGAGAACAGATGAGAGGAGAACAGACTCAGAGGAGAACAGACTGAGAGGAGAAACAGACAGAAGAGAACAGACTGAGAGGAGAACAGACTGAGAGGAGAACAGACTCAGAGGAGAACAGACTGAGAGGAGAACAGACAGAAGAGAACAGACTGAGAGGAGAACAGACTGAGAGGAGAACAGACTAAGAGGAGAACAGACTGAGAGGAGAACAGACAGAGGAGAACAGACTGAGAGGAGAACAGACTGAGAGGAGAACAGACTCAGAGGAGAAAAAAAACAGACTGACGATGAGAAGACAGAAGAGAACAGACTGAGAGGAGAACAGACTCACAGGAGAACAGACTGAGGAGAACAGATTCACAGGAGAACAGACTCACAGGAGAACAGACTGAGAAGAGAACAGACTGAGAGGAGAACAGACTCACAGGAGAACAGACTCACAGGAGAACAGACTCAGAGAAGAACAGACTGAGAGGAGAACAGACTGAGAGGAGAACAGACTGAGAAGAGAACAGACTCACAGGAGAACAGACTCACAGGAGAACAGACTCAGAGAAGAACAGACTGAGAGGAGAACAGACTGAGAGGAGAACAGACTGAGAAGAGAACATACTGAGAGGAGAACAGACTCACAGGAGAACAGACTGAGAGGAGAACAGACTGAGAAGAGAACAGACTGAGAGGAGAACAGACTCACAGGAGAACAGACTGAGAGGAGAACAGACAGAAGAGAACAGACTGAGAGGAGAACAGACTGAGAGGAGAACAGACACAGAGGAAAACAGACTGAGAGGAGAACAGACAGAAGAGAACAGACTGAGAGGAGAGCAGACTGAGAGGAGAACAGACTGAGAGGAGAACAGACTCACAGGAGAACAGACTCACAGGAGAACAGACTGAGAGGAGAACAGACTGAGAGGAGAACAGACTGAGAAGAGAACATACTGAGAGGAGAACAGACTCACAGGAGAACAGACTGAGAGGAGAACAGACTGAGAAGAGAACAGACTGAGAGGAGAACAGACTGAGAGGAGAACAGACTCACAGGAGAACAGACTGAGGAGAACAGATTCACAGGAGAACAGACTCACAGGAGAACAGACTCAGAGGAGAACAGACTGAGAGGAGAACAGACAGAAGAGAACAGACTGAGAGGAGAACAGACTCACAGGAGAACAGACTGAGGAGAACAGATTCACAGGAGAAAAGACTCACAGGAGAACAGACTGAGAGGAGAACAGACTGAGAGGAGAACAGACTGAGAGGAGAACAGACTCAGAGGAGAACAGACTGAGAGGAGAACAGACAGAAGAGAACAGACTGAGAGGAGAACAGACTGAGAGGAGAACAGACTCAGAGGAGAACAGACTGAGAGGAGAACAGACAGAAGAGAACAGACTGAGAGGTGAACAGACTGAGAGGTGAACAGACTGAGAGGAGAACAGACTGAGAGGAGAGCAGACTGAGAGGAGAACAGACTCACAGGAGAACAGACTGAGAAGAGAACAGACTGAGAGGAGAACAGACTCACAGGAGAACAGACTCACAGGAGAACAGACTCAGAGAAGAACAGACTGAGAGGAGAACAGACTGAGAAGAGAACATACTGAAAGGAGAACAGACTCACAGGAGAACAGACTGAGAGGAGAACAGACTGAGAAGAGAACAGACTGAGAGGAGAACAGACTCACAGGAGAACAGACTGAGAGGAGAACAGACAGAAGAGAACAGACTGAGAGGAGAACAGACTGAGAGGAGAACAGACTCAGAGGAGAACAGACTGAGAGGAGAACAGACAGAAGAGAACAGACTGAGAGGAGAACAGACTGAGAGGAGAACAGACTGAGAAGAGAACATACTGAGAGGAGAACAGACTCACAGGAGAACAGACTGAGAGGAGAACAGACTGAGAGGAGAACAGACTGAGAGGAGAACAGACAGAGAAGAGAACAGACTGAGAGGAGAACAGACTCACAGGAGAACAGACTGAGGAGAACAGACTCACAGGAGAACAGACTCACAGGAGAACAGACTCAGAGATGAACAGACTGAGAGGAGAACAGACTGAGAGGAGAACAGACTGAGAGGAGAGCAGACTGAGAAGAGAACAGACTGAGAGGAGAACAGACTCACAGGAGAACAGACTGAAAGGAGAACAGACTCACAGGAGAACAGACTGAGAGGAGAACAGACTGAGAGGAGAACATACAGAAGAGAGAACAGACTGAGAAGAGAACAGACTCACATGAGAACAGACTGAGGGGAGAACAGACTCACAGGAGAACAGACTGAGAGGAGAACAGACTGAGAGGAGAACAGACTGAGTGGAGAACAGACAGAAGATAACAGACTGAGAGGAGAACAGACAGAGGAGAGAACATACTGAGAATAGAACAGACTCACAGGTGAACAGACTGAGGAGAACAGACTCACAGGAGAACAGACTCACAGGAGAACAGACTCACAGGAGAACAGACTGAGAGGAGAACAGACTGAGAGGAGAACAGACAGAAGATAACAGACTGAGAGGAGAACAAACAGAGGAGAGAACAGACTGAGAAGAGAACAGACTCACAGGAGAACAGACTGAGAGGAGAACAGACTCACAGGAGAACAGATTCACAGGAGAACAGACTGAGAGGAGAACAGACTGAGAGGAGAACAGACTGAGAGGAGAACAGACTGAGAGGAGAACAGACTGAGAAGAGAACAGACTGAGAAGAGAACAGACTCACAGGAGAACAGACTGAGAGGAGAACAGACTCACAGGAGAACAGACACACAGGAGAACAGACTGAGAGGAGAACAGACAGAAGAGAAGAGACTGAGAGGAGAACAGACTGAGAGGAGAACAGACTAAGAGGAGAACAGACTCACAGGAGAACAGACTGAGAGGAGAACAGACTGAGAGGAGAACAGACTGAGAGGAGAACAGACTCACAGGAGAACAGACTGAGAAGAGGACAGACTGAGAAGAGAACAGACTGAGAGGAGAACAGACTGAGAGGAGAACAGACTCACAGGAGAACAGACTGAGAGGAGAACAGACTCACAGGAGAACAGACTGAGAGGAGAACAGACTGAGAGGAGAACAGACTCACAGGAGAACAGACTGAGAAGATAACAGACTGAGAAGAGAACAGACTGAGAGGAGAACAGACTCACAGGAGAACAGACTGAGAGGAGAACAGACTGAGAGGAGAACAGACTCACAGGAGAACAGACTGAGAGGAGAACAGACTGAGAGGAGAACAGACCGAGATGAGAACAGACTTAGAGGAGAACAGACTGAGAGGAGAACAGACTGAGAGGAGAACAGACTGAGAGGAGAACAGACTGAGAGGAGAACAGACTCACAGGAGGACAGACTGAGAGGAGAACAGACTGAGAGGAGAACAGACTGAGAGGAGAACAGATTCACAGGAGAACCGTCAAAGACAAATGCAGATTATTCTGGAAAACATTTGTAGTGGCAAAGCCTACACACTGTTACCACCTCCCTCTTGGACTCTCTGACTCCCTCTCGGAGGTTCCGAGCTGTTCACCCTACCTTCTTCTCCTCCTTTTCTGACACCTCTGTATACATATCTCCACAGAAACATACAGTATGGGCAGGAATCACTCTGGATCCAAAGCAAACATTCAGACCATTGAGGAGGCTGGGGAAGCATGTGGCATTGTTGCACCGTTGTGCCAGTTCTGAATGTGGTAAGTGGGAGGGTTGATTGTTTCACTGTGTTTAAGCATCATCAGCTGCTGTGGTCAGATGATATGAGGGGTCGTCAAAGCAAGTACATTCATTCAGAGTATTCCTGACCTAACTGGCCCACAGTGACAGTTCTGTATAATCAGGAAGGCTCACCACAGACCACAACCAGAGACCACAAACCCACAGACCAGAGACCAGGGAGCAAGCAGCTGGCTGCAAAACCACATCACCCTCCTCTTTCAGTGCTCTTGATTCAGACTATTGATAATGTATACCACGCACGCACATATGCACACACACACACATCATAAACCATAGTGATTGACCTGTAAACCCCACAGTATACTATAACTGCCTATTTTCATCCTCCAGATTAAACAGTCCAAACTGTCCCCAGAAGTCCCCCTAAAAACCATCCATCCTCTTCTGTTAACAGGCTGTTGCAAGATTTTGCAAGACACTCCCACTAAGCCCTGGAGTAACCATTGTTATGTGCATATTTAGAACGTAGCCAAGGGGGAGAAATCTCCTCTCTTCATATTTCTTGTGTTTTTCCACCATTGGAGCCCAAACAGGATCTCTCTGAGGGGAATGCACTGGGCTGTGATTGACAGGGTAAGACAGGAGCCAAGACAGCTACAGTCTGTTCAGCTCTCACAGGTTTAAAGGGTTTGATCAGGTTTGAGAGTCTTGTTTACCTAGCACAGCGAGATCCAGACATAGGCTCTCAATGACGTGTGAGTGTTGGTTGCAGCCCTCCATTAAATGCTGTTTATGACATCGACTTTAAAGACAGTTCATAGGATTAGTCTTTATGGGAAAATTGCTTGCCTAAGAGAAATAGTTTTGAGTTGTTGACGTGCTTATGCTTGAGTGTCTGTGCGTGTGTGTGAGACAGAGAATGCGAATCAGAAGAAGAGTGAAAATGGCGTGTTTATGCATGTGTCAGGGATCCACGGCCGTGATGTCAGTGACCCATACGTGTCTCTTCAAATGTCTAGTCCCACCAAAACTAAATCACAACCATAAAACATTGAGAAAGGTCTAAACTCAGGGCTGTGTGTACTGTACTCACCTCTCCCAGCGCGAGACCTTCCTCCTGTAATACTCCATTAGCTCTTCAGACTGCATCAGTCTCTCTTCCAGCCCGAGCTCCGGTGTCTGAATGTTATACAGGGGGTGAGCAAACAGCCTCCCCAGCTTCGAGCCCCAATCTGTGGAGTCGTCCGTAGCTCCGACCCCCTTACCCTGGAGGTCTACGGAGGTGGTGTTGGAGAACCAGGGGGTGGTGAGGCCACTGTACCCAGCAAGGGTGAAGTTAGTCCCCCTGGAGGAGGGACAGAGGCAGCCTCCATCCGCTGGTCCTGGTTGTCTGTGGCGGAGCTTGGGGACCAGGACGAAGTAGAGGTCAGCGGCAAAAATGGCTGTGAGGGTCACAGCTAGGAGCAGACGATCTCTCCTCATCATCATACTGGAGGATGGAAGGGTGAGGAGACAGAGAGAGACAGCGGGGAGAGGGAGGGGAGGAAGAGAAGAGAGAGAGAGGGGGGAGAGAAGAGGAGAGGGGAGGGAGAGAAGAGAGAGAAGAGAGAGAGGAGGAGGGGGGGACAGAGAGAGAAGAGAGAGGGAGGGGGGGAGAGACAGAGAGAGGAGGGGAGGGGAGGAAAGAGAGAGAAAAGAGAGAGAGGGGAGGGGAGAGGGAAAAGGGAGGGGAGGGGGGAGAAAAGAGAGAAGAGAGGAGGGGGGGGGAGAGAAAGAGAGAGAAAGAGAGAGAGGTGGAGGGGGGGAAGAAGAGAGGGGGGGGGAGGAAAAGGGGTGGAGGGGGAGAAAGAAGAGACAGAGAAGAGGTGGAGGGGGGAGGAAAAGGAGAGGGTTTAGGGGGAAGGATGGGGAAAGGGGAAAGAAGGGGTTGGAAAGCAAAAGGTTCCCGGGGTTTTTTTTTTGGGTCCAAAAAACGTGTGTTTAAAATATTCTTTGGAAGAAGGGGGTCTTTTAAAAAGCCCCCAACGTTTGACCAGTTTATTTTTCCGGGTTTTTTTCC